GCTTCCTCCGCAGAGTGGCTGCTCCCTTAGAGATAGGGTGAGGAGCTCAGTCACACGGGAGGAGCTCGGAGTAGAGCCGCTACTTCTCCACGTCGAGAGGAACCAGTTGAGGTGGCTCGGGCATCTGTTCCGGATGCCTCCTGGACGCCTTCCTGGGGAGGTGTTCCGGGCACGTCCCACCGGGAGGAGGCCCCGGGGAAGACCTAGGACACGCTGGAGGGACTATGTCTCTCAGCTGGCCTGGGAACGCCTTGGGGTCCCCCCGGACGAGCTGGAGGAAGTGTGTGTGGATAGGGAAGTCTGGGCGTCTCTGCTTAGACTGCTGTCCCCGCAACCCGGCAACGGATAAAGCGGAAGAAAATGGATGGATGGATGGATACTGTACCCATATGACAAAGTTGCGCATTAAACATATAAAAACGTCACATTTGATCTGACTTTGGAAATAAACTCCAAGGATGTTTCTTTCTCTCAGAACACCTCATATGTTTTCTGCGGGGGCATCGGGGCTATTATCCAATCTTTCAGGAACATGCTATTGCCTCACAACCATTTTTTTTTTCTGACAAACTATCTCCACAGAATAGAAAATATAACAATTCAAATCAGGATCTGAGCAGAGCATCTTCAATTTTAGGCCCAGTTTACACTGAGACATTGCAGCAGTAAAACGCTATAGTTGATGTCGGTTGCTACCCCCCGTTCACACGAAGACTGTTCCAGGTGAAAACGTAAGTGTTCAGATCCAGCCTCAGAGTGGGACAGCTCAGATGCTCAACAGCTCACACTCGCGTACGGAAAAAAGGTGTGAATTTCCTGCTGCTAATCTGACCCCCACCTCCTGCTGCTCCCCGCACGTACATTTGGACATGCGCAGTAGCCGAGAACAAACGTAAACAACAATGGCGGCGGGTAGCTAACTAGCTACGTGGGCTTTGAGCACTGCACAGACGAGGATTCTACTCCAGCTACTGTTAAAATGCAGAATCATGTTGGTGCATCTTTCACGTCTTGTTGTAAAGTTCCTCTGCCCACTACTGGCCGGGCGCTAGAACTACATCGTTTTTGATCCTCGTATGAACGCTGTGACATTTGCATTAGGAGCCTGGTCGTTTCTGTTAATAGCCTGGCAACGTCTGCGCAGCGCCTCCGTCTAAACTGGGCCTAAAGCCTGGTTCACTCAAGACGATTTTAAAATTGTCGGCCGATTTTTTCTCTGTGTGAGACCTCACACACGGAGATAAAAAATCATGGGTCTAACCACTCTGGTCGTACAGTGTGTGGTGCGCAGCCACACGGCAAAATCACGCAAACCACACACATCACACACGAACCGATTTCACTCCCGAGCATTCACAGGTCACCGGAAATCTCACAACATCTCTCGAGATCAAGCGTGACTTCAGAGTAAACAGAATGTGCAGGCCTCTCTGCTTCACGCAGCCTGGTCTGACCACAGCAGCCTATAGAGACTCTGGTCTGACCACAGCAGCCTATAGAGACTCTGGTCTGACCACAGCAGCCTATAGAGACTCTGGTCTGACCACAGCAGCCTATAGAGACTCTGGTCTGACCACAGCAGCCTATAGAGACTGGTCTGACCACAGCAGCCTATAGAGACTGGTCTGACCACAGCAGCCTATAGAGACTGGTCTGACCACAGCAGCCTATGACTCTGGTCTGACCACAGCAGCCTATAGAGACTCTGGTCTGACCACAGCAGCCTATAGAGACTCTGGTCTGACCACAGCAGCCTATAGAGACTCTGGTCTGACCACAGCAGCCTATAGAGACTGGTCTGACCACAGCAGCCTATAGAGACTGGTCTGACCACAGCAGCCTATAGAGACTGGTCTGACCACAGCAGCCTATAGAGACTGGTCTGACCACAGCAGCCTATGACTCTGGTCTGACCACAGCAGCCTATGACTCTGGTCTGACCACAGCAGCCTATGACTCTGGTCTGACCACAGCAGCCTATGACTCTGGTCTGACCACAGCAGCCTATGACTCTGGTCTGACCACAGCAGCCTATAGAGACTCTGGTCTGACCACAGCAGCCTATAGAGACTCTGGTCTGACCACAGCAGCCTATAGAGACTCTGGTCTGACCACAGCAGCCTATAGAGACTCTGGTCTGACCACAGCAGCCTATAGAGACTCTGGTCTGACCACAGCAGCCTATGACTCTGGTCTGACCACACCAGCCTATAGAGACTCTGGTCTGACCACAGCAGCCTATAGAGCAGGGGTGCTCAATACGTCGATCGCGATCTACCAGTCGATCGCAAAGGTAGTATTGGTAGATTGCATTAAATAAATAAAAAATTACACATTCTAAACGAATATATACAAAAAACTCCGGGCAAAGTGGTGATTTTTGAAAACTCCGTTAATGCATTTGTGTGTAGACAGAGATAACCGGAGTTTTGCGTTCTCGCACGCCACAGTACCCCCCTAAATTCCTCTGGTCACTGAAGCATGGATCATACTACCTTAAAAACTGTTTGCTGTGAGATGCTCGCGGCAGCGAACATCCTCCACATCAGAGAGCAGCAAAGTGATCGTGGGGACTCACGCTCGAAAACAACCAAACCAGGACTAAACCAGGACTAAACCCGGACTAAACCAGGACTAAACCAGGACTAAACCAGGGCTAAACCAGGGCTGAGGACGGGGTCAGTGCTTGTAAACATACATCTTTACTCTGAGTGTCTTCTATGACTGTAAAAGTGCCGTTACCGGCGTCTGCATCAAAGCTCCGCCCACTTCTGTGTTTTTCCCCAACGCAGGACAGGACGTAAGAGACGCACATGTTTGGAATGTTACGAATGTGATTGATAACGCAGATGTGTGGATGCAAATTATTTTATAAACTGAGGAGGGGAAATATTTGGATTTAAAAAAAATAGGCATGGCACATGGACATGGCACCACAGTCAAATGACATCTGTGTTTTACTCAGTAATGTTTTACTGACACTTAGGTGACTGCACATGCGCAAACAACCGCGCTCAGTGCAGGAAAGCTAAACCACGACAAACTTGTCAGCGAGTTACCACCTATTTTCCGGACTATGCATCTCTGGCCGATTCAATTCAGTGCAAGTCATCAGAGTAAACTCGGGTAATGACAAAAAATGTACATAGGTAATTGTGTTGTGTTGTGCTATATTGGCTCATGCGGTTTTGCATGTACATAAACATACATTGTAGATATAAAGAATATTTTTTGAAATATATGATTTGCATTTTTGTAGTAGGTAGATCATTTTGACTTGATCCTTTTATAAGTAGCTCGCATGCTGAAAAAGTGTGAGCACCCCTGCTATAGAGACTCTGGTCTGACCACAGCAGCCACAGACACCATGAGGACAAACACATGTGGATTTTACTGCTCTACAGTTCTCTGGCCCGTGCTGTCTGTGCTGTTCAACAATACAGTTTGTACGGACGACCTGTGAACGCATCACACACACTGCTACACATGAAACTTTACATACGTGCAAACCAACAAGCACGGCTGCAGTAACACGTCTGTACTGTATTAGGACAGAGTGTAAAGTAAACGTACAAACACAACCATCAGTCTGATTATTTAGCACTAATCCCGTCCGAACAGGGCTGATGCCAACACTACCTGTGCAGCAGCATTTCTGCCCCATTCCTCTCCTTGTCATTTTGGTGATATTCTTTACACGACATGTCATACATACATTCACGGTGTTTCCAGAGGTCATCTAGATGTTCCTCCATCTCTGATGTCCACCGAACTTTCTGGTGCGCCATGCCGCTGACTGTTATTTTTTTTTACTGTGTTTCCTCGCCGGCTCGTCTCGTCTTCTGATTGGCTACACGCCGCAGTCATGGCAACGCGCACGTCTGTCCTCGGGGGACACCACACACAGAGAGAAATCGGGCCAAAACAATCCAACATGTTGGATATCCCCGATATTGAGATCGGAGCAGTCCCGAAGTCCTTCCGAGCGACGAGCACAACACACGGAAAATCCATCAGATTTTTTGTTACGATATTCGGAGCATTCTTACGATTGTCGTAGGGGTAAATCGGGTCCAAAATCGGCCTAATTATCCTCCCGTGTGAACCAGGCTTTAGTGAGTGACATCGTGACGGCGGCTGTTATCAGATAATTAGTTTCAACAAACAATACAAGGGTGTGATGAGTGATGGGGCAGGAATCAGAGAGATTAGCATGAGCTACAGATAAGTAAGTAAGTAATCTTTATTTATATACCGCCTTTTCACTGCAGATCTGAGTCTCAAAGCGGTTTACAATTGTTAATTTTGGGCATTTGTCTCTCACTCCACACAGAGATGGAACAGGATCGCCAGTACAGGAGGCGCATGCCAGAACAATTGGACATATTTTTATTGGCAGGGGAAGCCGGAGCACCCGGAGGAAACCTACGCAGACACGGGGAGACATCTGCGGGACCAGACCACAGATGCTGGACTCTGGAGCCGGACTTGGGAACTGGCGGCGCACTCTGATTCGCTGTTTAGATCTGTCAATCACCTCCCGGCTTTTACTATTATTTTTATTTTTACCCCGTTTTGACAGAAGTATTTAAACACTATTTTAAATACAAAGCAAACGGCCTTATGTGCGTCATATTGGTCATCAGTGTGGTAAGCGTCACAGATGTGGACCTGAGCGTTTCACTGCCTCTCCAGAATGAAGGAAACCGATCGCTCTCCAACAAAAGATTGACAGAATCAATGAAAAAACGACTCCGAGCATGTGTATGAGGCCAAATAGCACTGTAATCATGTTTAAAGCAGAGTAGATTTTTGCATTAGTAACTATACTCCTTCTTAAATACCCAAGACACATACGTACTTTGAAAGATGGAGGTTTGCCATCAATAGCCCTTTGCGTTCCCCTTTGTAATCAGATGCACCGGGTACAAACTAAACATTGATTGGTTCTTTGAGATGTCGGAGAAATCGGCAAAAGGAAAACAAAGAAAATGGCTGACCTTGACCAGTTCTTTCTGGGGCCAGATTTGAATGGGCTCCACCTGTTGTGGGGTCTGGGTCTGGATGCCGTACGTGTTCAGGAAAACCTGCAGCCTTCAAAACAAAAGAAAAACACAGGACGCACATAAGTTATAAGATCAAGATGAAGAGATGCTTTATATGTAGCACAGCGGGGAAATGCCAGTGTTGCATCAGCAGTTACAGAGCAGTAGGAATGAGCCGCACACAAGAGAAATGAACACTGGCTCTGTACTCATAATAAAGCGGCTTCTCCACCGCTGCTGCTGCTGCGACCTAAAGCGCTTTTTACTTTCACTAAAAATACTAAATTCTACTACTTATTGCTAGCTACTTTTATAATTATCTATTCATTTGTTTTGTTTTTTGTATGGATGGATGTGTTTCTGCTGCTACTGGATCAGTACAAGTATCTATCTAATAAAGAAGATCTATGGCATAAGAAGAAGCAGGTATAAAGTAGTGTGTATTCTATCTAGAGCAGGTCATAGTTTCATTATTCGGCTCCTCACAGCAGAAGTAGAGCGCTCCATTGATTTGGATGTAATTTCAAAACGTTACTGGTCATTATTTCTTGATAACCCCTGAAACCAATAATGACCGCGGCCATGGGCTTGTAATTTAGGTGTGTCAGATCACTCCGCAAGTAGTTCCGGTCACTTCGTCAACAAGCTTCTGCCTCTGTGAGAGAAACTGGGGAATCGCTCCGGAGGTTAACGTGAGTCCAACTTTCCCAGAGACATCTAAATAAGTAGCTAACCTAACTGCTACTCGCCTAGCCACGCTATAGTGTGGTCACACTTAGATCCATGGTGTAGCTCCGCTCAATAAACACAAATAACAGTCAATAAACACATTTAAATGTTAATGAGAGAATACATTATACATATACAGTCTTACCACACATGCACTGAGGTTTTCAGAATGATCTGTTAACGGTTTAATGACAAAAATACTGTTTTAATGCAACAAAATGCGTTCACAGCAAACCCAGAAGTAACCAGTGCGTTACACCTCGCTGCTGTGGAAACATTGGTATGACTGCCTCTTGAAAGTTTAGAGGTTTTATTGTCTGTTGTCTGTGTCGATCTGGACCGTGAGTCTGTAGAAAAGATATCTATCAATCTATCTAACTATTTATACCTCCATGGCGGAGGCGGTCAGGTTTGCCCAGTCGGTACTTATTTTCTGATTCTATACATGATCCCTTACGTATGTATTAAATATGGTTTATTTAATACATACATAATCTGTAGCCCAGATTTTCTTGTAGCCCAGATTTTCTTATTTTATTTTATTTTATCTTAAATTTATTGTCTATTATCTTAAATAAAAGACTTTGATGTGTGCAATCTGAGTGCTCTTATTTCTTTCTCTGCTGTAATGTGCAACGATGACACTGAAATATCTCCACTGTGAGACTAATAAAGGTTTATCTTATCTTATCTTATCTTACATTTGCATTGGATATGGTGCATGTGTACTGTGTAACCGTTTTCCATACAGGACTGGTTCTAAAATTAACCTCATAATTTGGTTTTCCCGGTGGCTTCTCCCTTACATTACCACCTTATTTAACTGAGAATAACTGCTTTCATGAGTCCAATGACGGCGAAGGTGTAGAAGGCGATACATAAATGAAAACACACATCCGCTCAGAGAAGTGACAGGTCAAAATGGGCCAGCACTTTTTAAGTTCTCCACAATTACTGCGTTGCTCTGGTGTGATGTAAGGGCACGGAAAGTTTATCGACCAAAGCACATTCAAAGACACAATGTATTCAGGGGAAAATATACGGTACCTCTGACTCTCCGCAATCAGGGCCACATGAATCACCACGTCGTTTTCAATAGGACCCTGTGAGAAAAGAAGGTAAAGTCAGGGAATACTGTTCTGCTGAAAAGATTAGACATGTAGCCGGAGGTTATAAACAGTATAAATGTAAGGAGGAAGTAATGGGAATCATTTTAATTCCAGCTTTTTAGTACTACTCCATCCATTCCATTGTCCTCGTCTCAGCAGTCTAAGCTATGCCCAGACTTCCCGATCCGCAAACACATCCTACAGCACATGTGATAATTAGTCATGATTTAAGTTAATGACAACCTTTCAGGCTTGTTCCATTTACAATCACTAAACTGCAGCACTACAGATGAAAATTATCTTGTAGCGATGTCTGCTCTGAACAGTGCATTTATTGGGCCTGTCAAATAAACAAATACATAAATAAAGAATTCAGCTTTTTTATCCAGAACATTTTCCAAACATTTGCTTCCCACAAAACATTCACCACATTTTTGTATTATCTTTCTTTAGTTTATTTAAGTTATTGACTCTATTATGGTCCTGGGTTTTGTGCATGTCCTCCCTGTGTCTAGTTTTGGATCCTGAATCCTCTCTGCTCTGGTCTGGACCAGTGTAAAACCATGAATCCTCTCTGCTCTGGTCTGGACCAGTGTAAAACCATGAATCCTCTCTGCTCTGGTCTGGACCAGTGTAAAACCATGAATCCTCTCTGCTCTGGTCTGGACCAGTGTAAAACCATGAATCCTCTCTGCTCTGGTCTGGACCAGTGTAAAACCATGAACACTGTTCTGCAGCAACATCTCAGGCAGAAAAAAAGAAAGAAAAACAACAATTGTAAAACACAAAACAACTGTTTCAGAGACACTTAGGACTTTCTGCAGTTTCCATTGCGTTCAAAAGTAAAAGTTTCCCCTAGCACTAAAAACATGCACAATAGGTCAAATCCTCCGGCCCTGGTCCTGACCAAGCAGAGTATCGACATCAGGAGGTCTGTACTCCACTACAGTGACCACTGCTCCTCTTCGTTACAATTGCCCGTACAAGGAAATTGGTTCCAGCTGACTGATGTTCAAATCAGTCTCTTCTCAACTCGGTCGGTCCACTCCTAATACACACTCAATGCCCACCACAATCTAAGCCTCAGCTCCAAGTCTGTGAAAGTAAGTAAGTAAGAAAGTGGTGATTTTACAGACCAAAGTCACACAAAGCGCTTTACCATGTTCAGCGTCTTGCTTTACAATGAAGCGAGTCCTGAACACACTGGACCATCAAAGCCCCCAATTAACACCATCCATTCTCTCTCTCACTCACATTCAAACCTATTCCACATGTTTTTAGTGGTAGGGGAAACTGGAGCACCCGGAGGAAACCTACGCAGACACGGGGAGAACATGCAAACTCAGAAAGGCCCTTTTCCGACCAGTTTTCAAACCCATGACCTTCAGCTGAGAAGCGCGAGTGCTCTCCACACTCAAGGTGCATGATAAATAAAGATAACTTTTCATTTTCAGTTTCAGGGCTTTACTTTTTGTCTGTTTCACAAAAAAACTCCAAAAGGGATTGATTTGATGTTGTATTGTGTATATATGTAGTATATAATAATTATAGCTTGGGGCGACAGTAGCTCAGTTGGTAGAGCATTGGCCTTTGAGCCAGAAGGTCGTGGGTTCGAGTCCACCTCAAGACTTTCACCATCAACTCCCACTGTCTGCTGTCGTTGTGTCCTTGGGCAAGACACTTAACCTCTGGGAACAGATGCCACAGTGGGGCGGCTGCGGCTGTAAAGTGCCAAACTGCCATTGTGTCCTTAGGCCACACACTTCACCCCCATTGCCTAGAATGAGTCTGGTGTGTGTGTGAATGGTTGGTGTAAAGCGTCTTTGAGTGTCCAAAAAAGCACTATATAAAAACCAATGCATTATTATTATTATCAATAAATCAGTTTTATTAACAGTCTTCCTTCTGAAAGCTACACTATCGTTCCCGCTGATCGCATGTGTCTGTGCACACGTCCTCTGACTGCATCCAAGCATTGATCAAACTCTCCGCTGTCAGAAGCTCTTCCTGTGAGCTCCATTACAATTCTTTGTGTTTGTTTATGCTTGAGATCTAAGTCAGCTTCATTGAACTGAGCACTGATTTCTCCACATCTGTTCAGGAGCCAAACAGAAGTGGAAGACTCATAAAAGGCTTTCATGTCCGCGCCATTGTCAGCATTCTCACACGCACAATCGAATTATAAACATCGGCTGCATTATTGCACAGCTGAAAGGGTCTGTGGTGACGCCGGGCGCAGATGGCCGAGTGTATAAAAGCAGCAACACACAAAAAGCACGGCTCCTCGGTGAAGAAGAAACAAGCTTTTGCAAATAGGGAGAGCAGTGGGAGCCATTTTGTGCAGCTGTAATGAGGACCTTTTAGTCTGATCAGAGCTAACGGCACAAATGGAGGAGAATGGCCGCTGAGATTGCTAGTATCAGTGAGGCACATACATGTTGCAGATTCATGCCGCATAAAAAGCATCCTTCACAATTTCTAGCAAGTTAACAAAGCCATAAAATGTGCTCATGGGGGAAACAGAGGTTAACGATATGGAGGAAGTAGAATCTGTTATCTATTGGTTTAGAAAAGCAATTTTGGCTCACAAACTCTCAGTCGCATAAAAACACGAAATTATCAATCGCTTACAAGGCTTTTACGAAACAATGGAGGCAATGGGAAACGATGAATAAAGCTGTGGTTGAACTGTGTCACAAGAGCCATTTTAACCCAATGTTTAAGTCTTTAATGTGAGCATTTGTAATATTATTCTGTCGGAAAATGTTTATCCACAATCCACTCCCACTCAAAAATACAGGCTCAGAAAGCATCCTCGCTTCTTTGGGGAAGAGATCGATCCATGCAGTGGTAAAGGATGTGTTAAAAGGCTTTTATTTTTCCTTAAACGACAAAAGTGTGTTGACAGTTTCACTTCTGTGGGGGAGTGTGAAATTCAACAGATAAAAGACCGATCGATAAGTAGTCACTAAGACGATAAATTGTTGAAAGGATATTTAATGGACAGTCAACTCAACGGTAGCCTGGTCTTAGCCATCCGTAAACTCTGGTCAATTATTATTTCCCTACATATACCTCTGGGTCTGATCTCAGTGAAATCATTTACATTGGTTGAATCGTGAATCCCATCCGACCAATCAGAGAGCGCAGGAGGCGGGTGTTGAAGGGAGGTGTCGGTGACGTCAAGAGTTTGCGCCAAATTGGCAGGTTGTAGTTTGGCAATGGAGAAGAATCCGTGTATCATTCGTTCTTTTGATTTTCTAAATAAAACCAACATTGAAAAAACGAATAACGAGGGATGTTTTTGATTCTCAATATTTGAATTTAATGCAAAATAGAAATATTGGTTTGTTTTTTTGTTTTCTGTGGATCCAATTAAAACGAAAATGCAGTAAACCAATAATGACTGTCTAAATTACATTTTGCGATTTTCCTTTGAAACACAAACGTCCCCCGGAAGTGATTCGAAAGTACGAGTTTGTCACGAGACCAGGAAGTGTCGCCTCCAGGTACTTGGATCGCACCTTGTTAGCGCTGGTTGTAGGAGAAATGTCTCTTAAAACTCTCCTCAACATCAGTCAGATTACCAGCTTTTTCGTTCGCTGCTGCAGAGACCATCGCAGATGAGAATTGTCAGATTCACGAGAGAAGTGTTTTCTTCGATTAAAAATATATAACTACACAAGTGTCAAGGTAAGACATAACTTAGCAACTAGCGCTAACAGCTAAGTTAGCGTTAGCTACGACACATTTAGCTTAAGCACATATATGAAACACTTACACATGTAACAAATGTACCTAATGTGGGTGCTTTATTATTATAAATGTATGTTATAGACTTTCATATTATATAAGAACATGATATGTGTGTGTATTGGTGAAAGTAATTATGCTAAATTTTAGTAAATAAAAGATGATGCTAGATGTACCTTAACCATTCAATTGTGCTTTGTTTCTGCTTCATTCTCAATTATTGTCGAGGGACAGTAGTTAGAGCTAGATGCTTCAGGCTTATGAAGAGAAACGAGGAGCCCTCAGACTGCAGGTTTGAAACAGTCAGAAAGACTGCAGGTTTGAAACAGTCAGAAAGACTGCAGGTTTGAAACAGTCAGAAAGACTGCAGCTTTGACACAGTCAGAAAGACTGCAGCTTTGACACAGTCAGAAAGACTGCAGGTTTGAAACAGTCAGAAAGACTGCAGGTTTGAAACAGTCAGAAAGACTGCAGCTTTGAAACAGTCAGAAAGACAGCAGGTTTGAAACAGTCAGAAAGACTGCAGGTTTGAAACAGTCAGAAAGACTGCAGCTTTGAAACAGTCAGAAAGACTGCAGCTTTGAAACAGTCAGAAAGACAGCAGGTTTGAAACAGTCAGATAGACTGCAGGTTTGAAACAGTCAGAAAGACTGCAGCTTTGAAACAGTCAGAAAGACTGCAGCTTTGAAACAGTCAGAAAGACTGCAGCTTTGAAACAGTCAGAAAGACTGCAGGTTTGAAACAGTCAGAAAGACTGCAGGTTTGAAACAGTCAGAAAGACTGCAGCTTTGAAACAGTCAGAAAGACTGCAGGTTTGAAACAGTCAGAAAGACTGCAGGTTTGAAACAGTCAGAAAGACTGCAGAACAGTTTGAAACAGTCAGAAAGACTGCAGGTTTGAAACAGTCAGAAAGACTGCAGGTTTGAAACAGTCAGAAAGACTGCAGTTTGAAACAGTCAGAAAGACTGCAGCTTTGAAACAGTCAGAAAGACTGCAGCTTTGAAACAGTCAGAAAGACTGCAGCTTTGAAACAGTCAGAAAGACTGCAGCTTTGAAACAGTCAGAAAGACTGCAGCTTTGAAACAGTCAGAAAGACTGCAGCTTTGAAACAGTCAGAAAGACTGCAGCTTTGAAACAGTCAGAAAGACTGCAGCTTTGAAACAGTCAGAAAGACTGCAGGTTTGAAACAGTCAGAAAGACTGCAGGTTGAAACAGTCAGAAAGCTGCAGGTTTGAAACAGT